TTCCACTAAATTCCTTCTCCTTTGGGACTTATTTCTATAGAGACCATCTCTCTGTTCCATAACTAAAACTAGAAGTTGCTAGGAAACAGTCTGGCTTCTAAGGACACAACTGAACGGGAAAGGCTGCTTTCTACCAAGAAGTATAGAAATCTGAAGCTATTTCTGCCATACATGCTATTGTTACGAAACCCAGATTCTCAGCACATCTCTTTTACAGAGCCCAAGAGAGAATTTATAATGCATGTTCCTGTTTAGCCACAACAGTATTAAAGTAATGACTTAACCTGAACCTCAAAAATCTTTTCCCATTCCAGCATGGTGTTTCCTCTTTTCTTTCAATTCCTCTCTAAATGTATCATTTTACCTACAAATGATAGCATCCAAAAAATTGTTTTGCATGTTTTCATGTTACTAATTACTCATTTGAAAAATTGTTCCCATCACATTATTGGTCCTATTAAAGCACTGAAAATTATCACATGACTTCGAGTTCCTGTGTTCAGAATTTTTACATCAAAATTTTTGTTACTTCTTTTCAAAACAACCTGGTAGTTTATACAGATATCAAAATAGTCCTCAACACTCTCCATGAAGTAGTAACTACCCAAGCAGCCCACTCATTCTTTATCTTGCCTTAAACAGCAGTTGTTACCCTTTTACCTTTCTTATATTTCTAGCTGTTTTAGTGGCTCAGTTAGGAGCTCAGGTACGAGAAAGCCTGCTGGTGACTTAAACAAAGAGAAGAACTTTTTTTTTTCCTCATATAACATGAACTTCAGAGTGCCAGTCCAAGATCTTTCTATTTTCTGCTCTGCCATCCTTGGCTTTTTATTCTTTTGATTGATGCCTCATGATTGCTACATGGATGCAGCAGCTCAAGACATCACGTGTTTTCACCAGAGTTCCAAGTACAAGAGAAGAGGAAGTTTAAAAGACTCTTCCTTCATGAAACTCTGGCTTTTCATTGGAAAGCAAAGTTCACCCAAAGTTTTCCAATTAGATCTCATGGACAAGAACTGAGTCACATGTCTACCTCTAGCCTACTCAATGGTTGGATTAACATACAAGTTTAGACCTTTGCTGAGCCCAGGGAAGGCCTACCTGCCCTGAAATTAAGGACTTACTGCTTACCCCACTAATCCCATCAGGGTTCTGACTACAGAGGTAAGGGGGCAGGAAATGGCCCCTTGAGGGGTCTGGTATGCCAGATCCTCACCCCTCTTTCCTGCTAAGGATATAAATCTATTAGAAAACACAGTAAGAAGTGACAACGTGGATATAAGCAATCAATTTTATTCAGAGTTCTTTGGAAATATCTAGAGGGGAAAATTGAGATCTCTTATCACCCAACCTAATCAAATTATAGAGGAATTTCTGCTTCAGGCCTTAACAAAGTAATTAGCACCAGAATAGCCTTCCTAATGTACACAATTATAAAATTAGAAGGAAGTTGAAGTGGTTTTCAGGCATTGGAAGACAGATGGGATTACACTATAATCTCAGAGAAAAGAGAAACTTATCAGGCGACTCTCTGATCACCCAGATCTCAGATGGAAGACAATTTCCTGAGTGTAGAGCAAGAAGCTAGAGTCCACGGCAGTTCTGCTGAACTTGGATACAGAGATCAGAGTCTGGGTCAACTAAAGTACTAGAATCTCCAGGCCAAAGCACTGAAAAGGAGAGCGCTCTAGATGGTTAAGGGCCAGAAATCCACAAGGCGGATCCCCTACAAATCTTTGGCCAAGGTCTAGGCTGCACATACTCAGAAAGAAATGACCAAGGCTTTACAGAGAGCAGCTTTTCACGGCTGAGAGGACAACAGAGTGACCAGAGGTTAAGCAGTGCTGGTGAACATTGGAAGCTACAGGCCCCAAGCCAGAGTGAAGAGATCTGGCTAGCACTCCAGGCATCCAGCTAAGACACCAGAAATGCTACTGCTTAGGAATAAGCACAGTGTACTAGAATAAGGCCAACCATACACTTATTTTACCACAGCCCAAAAGCAAGACCTAACAAAATCCATAGGGGAGATCAAATTCAGGGGCTGAATTCTACCAAGTTAGAAATACTAGGAAAATACACTGACCTTTCCACAGATCCAGTCTAACAGAGTATAAAAATCAAACCTATACAAGTTTAAAGAAATAAATCTGCCTATTAGAAAAAAACCCAACACTGTTATTCCACAGAGAATTTCTACCACATAGAATCCTCAATATCCAGTGTAAAATCAAAATTTGCTAGATATACAAAGAAACCAAAAAAAATAAGAACCATGGTCAATGAAAAAAAATAGTCAATAGAAACTTAACCTGAGATGTCCTAGATGTTGAAACTAGAAGACAGAGACTTTAAAGCTGCTATATTCAATTCAGTTTGAGGAACTGAACAAAAATATATGAATGAGTTAACACACAAGGAATCTCATAAGAGAAATGAAAACTAGAAAAAGACAAATGCATATTCTAGAAATGAAAAGTCAAATAACTTAAAGTTTAAAAAGTCATTGGATGGGATTCACAACAGAATGAAGACAAGAAAAAAAGGGACAAAGTTACTGAACTTGAAGATAGATAAATAGAAATTATCAAATTTGAATATCAAAGAGCAAATATGTTGAAGGGAAATGGACCAGAGCCTCGGGGCCTTGTGGAACAACATGAAATGATTCTAACACACATATAACTGGCATCTCAGAAAAAGAAGAAAAAAATAAAACTAGAAAAAACATTTGAAGAAATAATGGCCAACATTTGTCCAAATTTCATCAAAAACATTAACTTATGAAGCTCAGGGACTATCAACGAGAATAAGTAAAAAGAATATCACACCTAGGTGTATCAAACTACTGGAAACGAAGATAAAGAGAAAAATCTTGAAAGCAGCCAAAGGAGAGGAAAAAATATGCATAAAATACAGGGGGACAAAGACACAATGATGATTTAGACAAGAAAGACACAGAAACTTCTTGAAATAAACTGAAGAAGAGTTATAACTTTTCAAAAGGGATTTATTTCCTAATTCTGCTTTCCTAGTTATAGCCTTTGATTAATTCCAGACTTAGAACTGTGACCTATACCTCTTCCTCTAGGAAGTAAAATACAACAACATCAAGATTTTGTGGTTTTGGTCACTTGGAGATAAGATTCATTGTGGTTGGAATCCCTTAGTTCCTTCCTGATTAAATTTAGATGGAGAATATAACAAGTGTGTGTATGGGGTGGGGGTAGAAACCGAAAGGCAGAAAAAAAATATAAACTAATATGATTAAAGTAGTCAATTTTTAAGTGATTCTAGCATCTTACAGATTGTTATTCATACAAAATAAATCATCTTATATGAGAAAGTAAAATTGATTATTTCCCAAATAAATATCATAAAAGGATTTTTTAAAAAACAATTTGCTACTTGTAGTCTTATATTAAGATAAAATAAAATTTAAAATGGGAAAAAATGAGAAAAGTCTAAAGAGAAGTTATACAAAGTCCAAAGAGTGAAACTGCATTCAAATCAACAGAGTTCCTAGAGTCTCATCAAATCTGTAAGATTTTTTTTTGTGAACATAATGATACAAATGTAATTTTTAAATTATGTATCTTCCTCAATTTGATTATATTTTTAAACACACGTAGGGAAACTGCTGTGAAGACTTTTACCCCTTTTGGTTACCATAAGAAAAAAAGAGAGATAATAATTCATTAAAGTTTTGCTCATTTTAGATTTTTTTGTTTTCCAGCATCACTAACCATTAAGAGTTAGATAAGTGAATATAAACCAAATGTTTTTATTTCATCAATATAAAATTCTTTATCCCAGAGAAAAATAAATTTCAGTGGGTTTAACATTCTAACAAAATTTCAGCAAGAGTATTGTTTTGCCTCAAACAGGGCTTCTCAACGGCTGTGCTATCGGCATTTGGGGCTAGATCATTCTTTGTGGAGGGAGGCTGTCCTGTACATTGCTGGATGTTTTACAGCATCCTGGCCTCACATCCCCCCAACCCACTTGTGACAACCAAAAATGTCTCCAGACTTTGCCAAATGCCCTCTAGGGGGCAAAATCTTCCCTGGCTAAGAAGCACTGCCATAAACAGATGGGTCTTTTTTTCCCTCTAATTTATTCATTAAAAAAAAAAAGAGGGGATGGTTGGCTTACAACTTACATTGAAAGCAACAATGTCTTCCTAATAGCTGATGCTAAATTTTGGAGAGAATTTTCTTCATTCAGTGAAAAAGTTCTCCAACTTTGGAGAATATTAGATTTTATTATTGGGTTGGATTTCAATTTTCTTTCTGTTTAGTTGGTAAGTTCGATTTTTGCTTTCCAATGTGGCAGACTTCATACTTTCTGGGATGTTTCATTTATCACTTACTCACCTAAGAACAGCAAACATAAATCAGCTAAACGGAGCTGAACGGTTTGTATTAAAACAAATAGCAATTATTTCTAAGTCATTTGTCAGGAAAACAAGACACTTCCTTTCCCTAATTGATCCGGGACAGATTCATGAAATTTAAAAATAAAAAGACATCTTAGATTGCAAGTAGTTCTTAACAAAACTCAAATTTTAGAAAATACAGAGCTTTTAAAATATGTTATCTAAATCTAGACATCTCTTTCATCAGTTTAAAAATGTCAGTAAATGCTAATAGATATCTCTTTCTAAAATGGGACTGCTGATTAAGAGAAATGTGACGTTTTATTGGTGCAATTACTTTTGCACCAATAGAAAATACTGTAACACCTGCAGGTTCTGAAGGTTCTGACACTTAATTAGGTAGAGCTGTAACCACAAACTTCATATAAGCAAAGGTACTGCTGAATTTCCTCCTCCCAAAGGAGAAAGAAATTTCCCAGAATCTGCTGCGTGTGTGTGTGTGTGTGTGTGTGTGTGTGTGTGTGTGTGAATTTTTTTCCAGGAGAAAATACAGAATGGTAAAAATGTCAGAGTAAAACTTGTATGCTCTGAGTCACAAGCAAGTCCATTCCATTTGACTTACCTATATGATAAAGTCCAATCCAATCACTGGGGTCCACCTCCTCTTTTATGTCCCAAAAGATAATGAGGTTCTGGGCTTGCCCCAGCGTGTACTCGTACATGCTGGCAGTTAAGCTGGAGCGGCTCTCGGAAGTCACCAGGTCGGTGTCGCTGTTGGCCCGCTGCAGGGTCATGTTCTCTGGCATCGAGCTCTGGGCGGCGAGGCTCTGGAGGTTCTCTGGGCTCAGTGTGTACCGCATCTGGGGATTTCGACGCCGTACAAAAAGCAGGTGCTCCCGGGCTGAACTAGCCATCCTGTCTGCCTCTTTGAGGTTGGCTGCCTACAAAGCTGCAAGAGACAGATAAACATAAAACATTAGTGCTACAACATGAAGAATTAGATTTAATCTTTCCAGACATAAAGCTGTAAGGAGTATTTATTAAAGCCTGACCATGTAATAATACTCTGCTGTCAAAATAAAATCTATTATTCTACTGTCAACTGATGATATCAGAAACAGCTTCTATAAAGTCACATGATGGCAAAGGCTGTCACATGCCTGTGACCCTTGATTGCACTTGGCACAGCTTTCTCCTAGCAATCAAGGAAGAAGGGATTCCTTTTAGGTCTATCCTTTCCAAATACTCCAAGTTCAAACAAACATGGTATCCTCTTCTTTTTCATCCACCCCCCCCACATTTATTTGCTTCTGCAATGAAATTTTAAAACAGCAAGACACATGCTAAATACACTTGAAGTAAACCATTGAGTACAAGTTCATTCACTCAGTTTTCTTAGCATAAGAATGAAATCTTTTCAGGAGCTTGCTCAAATGTCACCTCTTCACTTAAATGCAGTGGCCATCACATTTAAAACTGCAGCACCCCAGCATTTCCCATCCCTCCTTTCTTGCTTTATTTTTCTCTGTAGCAATTTTTGTGATCTAATGTACCATACAATTTACTTATTTATTTGGTTATTGTCTACTTCTTCTGACAAGAATGTACATTTCACAAAGGCAGGGATTGTCATCTGTTTTGTTGGCTACTTTACCTCCAGTGTCTACAACAGTGCCTGCTACACAGTACATGTCAATAAATGTTTGTTAAATGAACAGACGCAGGAAGAGTGAACATCTTTCTCCTAGATACTTCTTGACATAACTTATATCTCTAGCCCCTTTCCTGAGCCTGCCCCTTGCCATCCTGACTTTCTGGCTGGTCCACATTATTTGGGCCATCTGGATCACGATAAGCTCTTTCCTTTGGCTCCCACTTGGCCTCCTTCCAAAGGAACAGGGCTTTCCCTGTTGGAACTTAGACAGCCCCTTGTTGGCTCACTGAGTCTAGTTCCAAAATACTTCCAGATATAAACAGAGACTCCAGGACCTCTGGTATTTTAACACAGTACAACTGAGGTTCTATCTGCCAGTGCTTTACCTGTTTGCATTGGGTTTACATTACCTCACTCAGATCTCACCAGGTTTACATAGAATTGATCTGATTTTCTTCTATACCATCCCTTTCAGATCTACAGAATCCCCTCATGCATTTATCAATTTAACATTTATTCTGCACTCTTAGTACCTGCCACCATCTTCATTATAATATGTTTCATTTCAAGGCAAACCCTATTGGGTCCTGGGAAGTCAGCATGAGTTTCCATTTAAAAAACAAAGTAACTTTGGGTGCAGTACTTACATGACAGCTGACAACCTTGGCTACTGAGTCTGAGAGGAGGGCAGGGGAATGTAATGTTTCCTAATTTCTCCCATCCTCCCATTCAGTTCACAGACACTTTGGGTGAAGAGGACATACTTTTCTGCTAGGTTTATAGCACTTGTAAATGTATTTATTCAAGTAATTTCTGCCATAAAGTGGATCTCATACTTTAGCACTATCTTTTGAATAAAAAGAATTTGGACAAGAAATCCTTTGTGAAAAAGACAGAAATAAAAATGAACAGATAAGCTGATTTACTCAGCTCAATGGTTTTAAATCCCATGTCTCTCTTCATAAAATTGGCACTTATTTTCTGTATGTGGTTTATGCTAATTCTGATACCATAAAAGAATCCATAATTAATAGAAAATCTCTAATCTATGAAGCTTAAAATACAGGTCAACTTCTGACAGTTTTCATGAAATTTCACTTTAGTGACTTTCAACAGGCCATTATTTCTTTATAAACTCAGTGACTCAAGAAGCACATCAGCTTCAGCAAGAACTATAAATAATTAACTCCCAACACACTGTAGCTGAATAAAAAATGCAGGTTGTATATAACCAGACTACTTCCCTGAAAGAAATAGGCCACAACCCTTACGATTTAAAACCACAACAGAAGAACTACTGACAATTATTCTGTTCTAGAAAAATGTGAAATAACACGTACGTATATCCACATTGCTGTTTTAAAATTATCTGTATTTAAGCAGAGAGATAAGTTAGCACAGCAGCTAAGAGAATAAACTCTGAAGCCCAATTTCTGGATTTCGGTCATGTCTTTACTTTCGATCACTCTATGATCTTAGACAATTTATTTTAACTCTCTGTCCCTCTGTTTTCCCACCTATCCTGGAAGAACATAATAACATCTGCCTCATAGGATTTTGAAGAGAACTAAATAAATCAGTACTGATAAAACAGTGTCTGGCATATAGTAAGTGCTTGGTAAAGTTTAGCTATTAATAATATATGGCTACATTCTACTTTAATTATATCGAGAACTGGTTTCATACTCCCATAATTCCCATTACCCCTTCTACTTAATCAGCATCTTCGGTAGTTCAAAGCATAGCCTCTAACAGAAACAAAAGAGCCTCGTAGGCAGTAAGGACCTCAGAAATCTCAGAGCCCAAGGTTTAGCCCCGTAATGCCGACAAGAGCCATTCTCTGGTCCTGTCAGGGGTCGGGGGCTAGGGGAAGGATAGCATTAAGAGAAATACCCAATGTAGATGATAGGTTGATGGGTGCAGCAAACCACTATGGCTCGTGTATACCTATGTAACAAACCTGCACGTTCTGGACATGTACCCCAGAACTTAAAGTATTAAAAAAAAAATACTGTGCTCCTCCTACATGAAAAGCATTAAGGATACAAGAAAGCAAAAGTCAAAGTCCCTAGTTCAAAGAAGGCTGCATTCTAACAAGAAAAGACATGTGATTAAGGACCAAAAACTGAATACATCATACATAATATATTTTCAGTGAAAAGCAAAAAGAGCTAGAAATGTGTGAATCTGCTAGTTTAATTGCACCTGCAAAAATGTATGAAGCATCTATTACTACATGTCTACCATAAAGCTGCAGTGTATGCTAAAAAGTTAAAGAGTAAGATTTTTTTTTCAATTTCTTTATTTTCTTTTCCTAACATAGCCCTTCCCACCTGGGAACTTGGAATTTTAGAAGACAACAGCAAATATTCATATATGAGAGAATTCAAGCTGGTATCAATGGCACCTTATATACATGTATAATTTATCTTGACAAATATGTTATGGGGACAACAAATGTTGCAGGGCCATCTAAAAGTGGTAACAATGTATTTATAAAGTGCTTATCCTTTTCCAAAGCACTTTCACATCAGGTATCTCGAGTGAGACCTCAGAATATTGTGAATTAAATCTGAGAGATAACATCATTATTTCTGTTTTCAGATGAGGAAATTGAGAAAGATCTGTGAAGCAAAAGGTTGGCTGAAGAAGATAGAAAACACTTGGTGGCAGAGGTGATATCTGGGAGAAATGCCAGATATAGTATGCACCTAAAGTAAAATAAATAAATTAAAAAAAATATTTACAACTACCTTATATTGATGATGTCATTAAAATAATATAAGCATTAAAAAAAAGAATGAGAAGAAAAAAAGAAATGCATGAAGAACATTCTAATTGGGAGCACAGATACGAAAAAGCTACCAATGAAGAGTATTGAGAGGCGGAGGAAAAAAACAAACAAACATAGTTTCCCCAGAAATCGGTGAAGATAATGACAATCCTGCAAAAGAAACCAAGCACTGGCTGGGCATGGTGGCTCACACCTGTTATTCCAGCACTTTGGGAGGCCAAGGTGGGTGGATCATCTGAGGTCAGGAGTTCAAGACCAGTCTGGCCAACATAGTGAAACCCCGCCTCTATTAAAAATTCAAAAATTAGCTGGGTGTGATAGCACGGCTACCAGGCCGAACAAAAGCTGGAATACACAGGACAGGTGGAGAATTAGTCTAAACCAGCACTGTCCAGTTGAAATATAACACAACACATGGGTGTAATTTAAAATTTTCTAGTAATCACATTTTAAAAACATAAAACAGGTGAAAATTTTAATAATATTTTATTTAACTCAATATATCCAAACTTATTGTTTCAACATTAATATAAACAGTTACTAATGGTTTTTTTCTTGTTTTAAATACTAAGGCTTTTAAATCCAGTGTGAATTTTACACTTAAAGCACATTTCAGTTAAAACTAACCACATGTCAAGTGCTCCCCAGCCACATACTGGACTGGGCGGTACAGATCTAAACCATGGAAGTGCCCCCACTTCCTTTTCAACTCTATGCAATCAGAAAGGCCCCAGAGGTAGCTAAGAGGAAGACATCATTGAACTAGCTGATGGTGATGTGTTAATAACCGAGAATTCCTTAATCCTTCCAAGGGTTCTTTCATTACACTTTAGCACAAAGATACTTTTTGAACCAAATCTCTAACAGGAATCACTGTGCAATCCGGTTGTATGAAGACATCCAGTCCAGGGAGTAGAGGGTTTTCTGGAGACAGGCTTGCGGATGGAGAGGCTGACAAGTCTCAGAAACTTTTTAGATCTCTTTTTGCTTCTTCTCTTCTACTCTGAAGCTGTATAGACTTCAAAAGGAGAACAGTGCCCCAGAGGTGCTTGTGCATCAGGGGAGGAGATGAAGTGGGGAAGGGATGGAGGTTTTCTACATATTCCTTTAAGAAATTCTCATATGATACAAACTTTTCTTAAGAATTTTCAAATATATACAGGTTATTTTTAAGTCAGCACATAAATCAATAGCTATATATATTTAAACTTCACCCAGCCTCAATTTATTTATCTATTAAATGGAAGTAATTTTAATGTACCATGCAAGGTTGTGGTAAGAATTGAAATACTGTGGGTGAAAGTGTTCAATAAATAGTAGCTATGGTTATTTTAGTAGGCAAACCATTATAACTACTGAATTAATTAATGCATTATTTAGTCTAGGGTAACTATTTATGCCTAAGAGCCTGGAGAGCGGAATGCCAGGATTTGGAAGACAGTGAACAGAAAACAAATGCTGAAGACCAACTTTACACATTAAGAACCACTAGAAGTTCTGC